TATTCCCACACAAATACAGTTAAGTGACTTCCAGGACTCAGATACACGGCCTTCTCAGAGCACAGACAGAAAAAGCTCACGTGGTCTAGAAATATCCTGAGATACTCAGACACTCATGGTTGTAAGGTTCATCAGTGTAACCTGGGCAGCACACAGATAAGAACCTGGGTACATAAATGAACACATCAATGGAACAAGTTCGAGGGTTATTATGACATTGGTATCTGCAGACGTACAGAGAACCATGTCTTCCAGGGTGAGCTGACAGTAGCGCAGTCTGAAGGCACTCAGCTGGCCAGGGTCATGCAGATAAAAAAAAAAAATCAATGAGTAGAAACTACAGATGTGGGAAGATATTCTGGATTTCACAAAAAATGTGAATAGAGAGCAGAAGAGGAAGAACCACCTGACAGGAAGCTGACTGCCACAGAAGTCCAAGACTGCAAGAGAGGAAGAGATTCATTATAATATTAGGTAAGAAAAGAAATTGAAAGTTGTACTCCTAAAAATACAGAAAGAAAGAAAGAGCTTTGTCAAGTTCCAGTACTTTTAAGGGGGCAAATGATCACACAAGGACTGTTAAAGATACATGGGTGTTGTGTAACTCAGTGTTTCTCCACTCATTTGAATCACACCTTTGCTATCTCTCCCCATTGTTAGGACTGTTATTATTGAAGAAGAAAAAATGACAAGCTGTTTCCACACCCCTTCTAACTCATGCTCTGCACTTAGAAGCTGAGGTGTAAGATGACTTGCTGAAGCCCCAAAAAACTGTGAAGTCCTATAGGTAAGAAGCATCAAAGAGGACTCCCTGTCATACAAGGAGGTTCTGGGTCTGTTTCCAGACACATCCCATCAGAGGAACTCTCATGCAAAAACTGTCGGCCAAGCCCAAACCCAGCTTCAGAATGCACATAAGCTATGAGAGCAAAGCTTGGAAACCTCTGCAGTGGATGTTCAGCCACTAAGCTGCAAAATACATGAGAATAGCAGCTCTTGGCTCAAAGGCAAGAGTTTTTTGATTATATTGGCTACAATATGAAAAGGCCCAAAACCTTACAGCACTTATCTGGAGGCAGCAATGTGGAACATGATCCCATCCCAAGCTGATTTTGAAACTTGGATCTTCAGAAGTTAGATAGGAATTTACGCAGCTTTAAAAGAGGATGGTTTAGGTTTCATTCGTCAGAATGTAGCCAGTGACAGGGAATACATCTTACAAATTCCACCTGTTGAAAGATGCAGTCTAGAGAAATTATCATCTGCTTTTCAGTAGATAAGCTGTCCTGGTTTTATTTTATTAGCTATTTATTAAGGAGTCTTTTAGTCCAATGTAAGACGGAGAGCAGATGAGATCTGTCTTGACACTGATGGTTCCTAGGAAATCATAATTTCTAGAGTTCTTGTGAATCCAATACAGGAACTGACCCTTGATCATTTAGTTAAAGTTTTTGAAAAGTGGCACTTAGTGCCACATAAAAGGGCCTATTCCTGCAAAATGTGAGCCAGTGATATCGACGATGGCTTGGAGCAGAAGAAAACCAGAAGAGGGATGGGGGTAATAGCTCCCACCCCTGCTACTGGACTTGTTCCAGTACTGCACTAAACACAGCAGCATTACATGTTTTGCACCAAAGGGCTTTCTGGATAACAGAGAGAAATTATTTTCTTAATCCAGGAAAGATATTTCTGTGTATAATAAAAAACTTACAGGGGATATGAGATATAAAATAAAGTCACCATTTTTTTAAGGCCAGCTGTTACAGGATATGAGCAGGGAAAATTTGCTCACTGTAACTTTTTACAGTAAGTTGAAGCAAATACATTTTCTTCTGTTTGCTGAGCACTGGTACATGGTCAGGTTCCAGCATTACATTACAGTTCAACCTGTTATCTAAGGAACTAACAGGAACAGCACGGTTTCCACTCCCCTATAGCTGGGTGCTTCCCTTCTGCTGGCTTACAAATGCCTGACTTTGTAGCTCAGGGAGTGAAATCAGCAGTAAACTAACCCTGCAAAAGGAGTCATTATTTCTCTTCCCATGTATTTCTCTGAAGTAGTTTATCAGAATTACAGAAAAGAGATGGATCAGCAACACAGCCAGCAGACCACTGGACTAGATCTGCTGTGGCTGTTATTATGACTTGGTGAATACACAGCTACTTGTGAGGATTTGCCAATTCAAGCACGCCACTCAACTACAACTTATTATCAAGGAAACGTATCTACTACTGCAAACAAAGACATCCAAAATACTGCAGCAGCATCAGTATGGTTTCCCACACCAGACCCAGTGTGAGTGTGGCAAGTGAAAATAAGTCCCTAAGTGGAGGAAAACTGCTTTAATTTGTGCAGTAATTTTAAATGTTAGTTTCAGGTTTGTGCAATGCATTAGACACAACTGAAAGTCTTTTGAAGAGATCACTACAAAGCATCTATCAGTGCTTTTGCTGTACCTCAATGATATTCTGATATATGCTAATATCTCAGAAGAACTGGGTCATTGATGCTCTGTGATAATAGTAAGAATGTACACGTGAAATGAAAAGCAAGTAACTGTGGGTAGTCTCAAAATAGGGTGATTGGACCGGGCCCACAATAAGCAAGATGGGAATTTCCTTCAACAAAAGAATGGAGGCTCTATAGAAGTAGCCAAGCCTATAGGCAATCACATAGGGGATTTTCGCATTTGACTGTTACTACAGCATGTTTACGTGTGCGTTGGTCAATATTGCAAAACTATTGCATAGTTTGGGTAAGAAAAAGAAAACATTTCAGTCATCAGCAGAGTGAAATGAATACTTTTAGAGTTGGGAAAGATTCTCATACCTTCTTCTTTCAGGATGGACCTACCAATGTTTAAAATGCCTTGTGAAAAAGGAAAAAACCCAACACTTTATTTTTACAGCTGTAATGTCACAAGGTCAGCAGTGCCTGGTAGCTTAGTAATGCAGAACTCTGACTTCTCTAGAAAAGGCACCACCTGAGTGGAACTCCTTCCAGTGCATTACAGGTATAGGGTGGTCCAGTCACTATTTGAGAGAGCAGGAGGGCTGGTCTCAGCTGGAGCAGGAATTTTGTAATCAGAAGAGACAATGGTTACCTGACATTGCATATTAGAAACAGGACTCAAAGATCAGCTTGGGAGTGAGTCAGAAAAGCTACAAGCAACTTTCTCACTACACTGTTGCAAACAGGCAGACCTGAGTGAAAGTACGGAAATAGGCTTATTTGCAAACATTGCCATAAGCAGGTATGTCTTAAAGGCAAGCATTAAGGCTTAGTGTCTAGGCTCCCTCTAAACCCATTTTTTTTTCTATCCAAGCAGAACAAAATACACTGGGGAAGTACCTGTCTCTCTGCAGTGGCCATCATGGGAGCCCAGACTACTACCTCTGAATGAACACTTTACTTTCAGACAGTTAATTTAAGTGATGTCTGCTGTGTTCACCATTCAAGCTTTCCTGTAATGCAGCACCAAAATGACCAGGACCATGGCTGGTCACGTTCTCTGTGATATTTCCATCGCTGCAGCCAACAGCAGAACATATACTGCAAAAGATTTAGTGTCTGTGCAGGTGAAACAGGATCTTATCTGATGATATATTCAAAAGGTTGATCTTAAGACTTTGCTGCAATAAAAAGCACACTGTACAAATCATCCTTTCCTACAGAAAAGACTTTTCCACTGGAGGGGAGTGAAGAGAGTAATGTTATGATGCTCTCTCAATTGCATGGCTGAATGTCTTGTTTCTGGCTGCAGTCTGGAGGGTATTAAAGGAAGAGCAGATGTCTGAATAGGTCAGTGCTTCTATTTCACAGTCAAAGAAGTAACTAAATTCTTTAGAAAAGCTGCCTTGCCGCCTCTGCTTTTGGAGCTGTAGCACTGCTTGGAATAAGGATATATCTAATAGACGTTCAGTCTACACAATGAAGCTTTGATATCAAAGGAGCCAAGCAGACTTTGTACTTTACAGGGCGCCTCAAAAACCTTGTGTTTCAACACAGCCGTATTTGTCTTCTGTAAATTACTCTTTGAAAGTCTTGAAACAAAAAAAAACCCACATTCAGATGGAAAATATTTTTTTATTGATCAGCTTCTTGTTCCAGACCCTCACTCCCCACCCATATTCCTGATCCCACACTAGCAATTCCACATGGTTTCAGGATTTGCTATTAATCATCTTTCAGTTGACTTTATTTCCTTGTTACACAACAGGAAGTAAGGATGTTTGACAAGAGCGAAATAAAGGCCAAATGTTTGATAATCAGTACAGTGTGTAATATTATTCTCAACAATTGAGTATAAATACTGTTACAATGGAAAAAAAAATACTTCAATTCTTTCCACTAAACTGTTTCCTTCTAGGCTGGATTTCCACATGACGGTTTTAAATAGCTATCAAACCAAAGACATGAACCTGCTCAGACATATAGGAAAGCTATCTCCAAGTCAAATACAAATGCAAGCACAGAAAGCAGTTTTTAGATATATTTAAGGAATATGGTCTGTCATGGTGAGATCACCAGAATGGCATCAGAAAACAAAGGAAATTACAAATCAGGATAATGTAACAAAGCTGAGAAAACTTCTTCCATTCTTCATTTCTCAAAACCTTTTGTTTATGGTTTAAAAATGAAGGTTACAAACAAGAAAATCTGAAAAAATAGGTACACAAGGTACTATGAAAGTACTCTTTTATAGCATATTGTATATAAAATATTAATTTAGAAAGAAAATGTGAACCTGATTCTCTAAGTGATCTAAGATATTTTTTGTTTTGAAATACTGGGAAACGAGGACTCATAATCCAGCCTCTTTTGGACATGTTAGAATAGGATTAACTTGCTAAATTCTTCACTCATGAGAATAATCTCACAGTAAGTAGCAGAAACTACTAACATGAGAGATGACCAGTTGGACAAGATTTGCAAGTTACCCCAAAATACAACTTGATGTTGAGAAGATACTAAGGACCTTGAAAATGTGTTGTTAAATTCAATGCAAGGAATGCACACTCTTCATTCTGGGGGAAAAACAGAAGAGGAAAAAAGATTGGCGTTTTTTCTCTGATGTGTAAGACAGTCCATTACATTCATATATAGTTGGAGTTAAATAACAAATCTAACCATTTGTCTACAGCTTGCAGACTTGACTGTCACAGTCCAAACAGCAGTCATATGAACAAATGAACAAAACCAAGATTCTTTATTCCTGAATGGTATCTTCTGACAAGGGAAAGGCCAAAGACTGCCTCAAAGACAAGATGGTAGCCCCTTCTCAACCAAATGACTCGCATAACTTCTGCAAGGCTGCATCTTTTTCCCATCTTTGAACAAGGGCTTTTCAGAGCATCCCTACTCTCTCTGGAGTTCTGGGTTGCTTCCACTGGTTATTTGTCTGCCTTTGTCCTCTCTCTTTGGTAGCAAGGCAGCTACCTCTGGTGCCACACTGCACTGTGGTGCGAGAGAGAGAACAAGAGGAGAGAGAGCACAAGAGCAAAAGATGTTTTCAGTGGGCACAAGGAAAGGGGAGAGGCAGGAACCTGATATTCCTGCTGGCTAGTAAAAAACTCACTCAGACATTGCTTCTGTTCCTTAGAGTGGCAAATGATATGTTTTCAGGATTAAAAACTACTGACTCTCGAAGGCGTTTTAAACTATACGTCAGATGGATACCTGTGTGTCATGGCCTTTGCTGGGTTTCCATCACCGTATGTCTGACCACGAAAACCTGAAGAAACAAGTTCAAATATAGGTTGCCATTTTATTTTTACTATGTTTCACATACTTATTCTCAAATTAACTGATTTGGGTTATTGTTTCATTCAGAATAGATAAGTTTCTTTTTTAATAGGTGCAATAATGTCTCAAATGTTTGGCTACCTTTACATTAAATGGAAGCCAGAGAAGTGGCCAAAAGAAAAATAAAATTCAAAAAGAACACAAAGTCTTGTCTCTAAGTCAATTAAATGCAAAAAAAAAAAAAAAAATGCAGTGCATTGCAGTATAATGTATTCTATGTGCCAGAAAACTCTTCTTGCATATGGAAAGAGAGTAGCCTTCATGATGGTTAGCTACACTGATTTTTTTATAATAGATACTGTCACCACTGGAATCTTGGTTTTGAGTAACAAAACACATGTTAATAATATCATAGCTCTTTTGCTGCTTGGTATCTTTAACAGTGATACTTAACAATGTAAATTTCTATTTTACAAAGATGTATGCGGTAAATATTTTCACTGATTTCACTATCCCATTATAAGATCGTTTCTCATTTACTTAGACATTTTTTATAATCCAAATTGTCACAAATTACGGAAAAATCTTAGGTTTGATATTCCCTTCACCTTTTTGTGGATTGTTTTTCTTAACATCTTAGGTTCAAACACAATAGCATCCCAGTGTAAGAATTATCCTCGGTGATATTGTCTTTGAGAAACTTTCATCATCTCCTGATTTTGAAAAGCTAGTGCTTGAGAAAATGTCTTTGTTACAGAAAATAAGCATTTAAGAATATGAAAGTCCTTAGTAGTAATGCTATTACTATTACGTTAAAGATCTTTCACATGACAAGCAGTTGATGGCTCCTGACAAGTCATTAAGAACGCAGGAATTACAGCAATGGATGGAACCCACCTAGTTCAGTGTCCCATCTTTGACACTGACCTGTACCATCTGCCTCAGAGGGAGGTTTTGGAAACCCCCTCCTGGTCAGCTGGCAGAGATGGAATTATCCACCCACTAATGTGGACGGCATTATCCCAAAAATATAAAGTATGACAGAACCCATGAAACAGGAGGCTAATATCCTCTATGTAACAAACACAGTGATCATGTATTACAGCTCTGATATTCTTGATATGTGTACAGTTCCTCAGATTTTTTTCTGAATCTCCACAAATTCTTGATTAGAACAAAAACTTGTGACAAAACATTCCACATTTAAATCAAATACTGTTCTTTACTTAGTTGTCAGTGTTCCACCATTTTCATTTAATACACAGAGCTATTCACTCCTACTATAAGGCAGAGGGAAATTCCCAGACTGCCATCTCCAGAGGCTTTCATTATTTTGCATGTTTTTGTCATACCATTCACATTTGTTAAAAGGAAAATATGAATAAGAAAAATGCATCTAGACTACATGAATCACAACACTCTGACTATTTAATTGATTCACCTCGAGTGGGCTTGTCACGAGTTTTTAAGTGGTGAAGGAACCTGAATGAGGATTATGCGAGTGCTTGCACAGAGAACTACATTTAGACTACAAATTCAAGATCCCTTCTTTTTAGTACCAGGCTTCCAAATCTGAAGCTGTAGTTAACTGTATTTTTAGACAACAGAGAAAATCTGTCATAGGAATCACCATGTTTACAATGAACTGGGAGGGGAGGTTGTTTGTTTGGGTGGTGTTTTTGGCAATGCTCAGATTGAGCCTTCTCTTGACTCCTTTTAGACTTTTTCATTCTAAATCAGTCAATCCACTCCTGCGCTCTTCACCGTAAACCCCACAGCCTTAGTTCACTCTGAACTCACTAACTTCTGCAACGCCCTACTCTCAGGGCATGGAGATTTCGGAATATTCTGACTCCATGAGCATATCTGAGTGTACTTCAAATCATAATAGTATCTGCACCATACTTGTGCAGTGGAGGGAAGTACTACTGTCCTGTTTGCAGCGGTGGTGAATTAACTAACAGTAGTGCTGTGCTGCAATCACTACAATAACAGCACCGTGTGCCTACTTGCCAAGGACTGTTTTTAACTAGTTACCTCATATACCAAGAGCAAGGTAAATATAGGTGTGGCATGCAGAACTTGGCACAGGATGGAAAATTCACCCAGGTAACAGAGCAAACAGCCAGCCGCACAAGTTGCCCTTGCAGTAGCTAATTAAAAGCTAGTTGAGGTATGCGAGTCCGATGCCTATAAAGGAAGCTGCGCATGTCTAGCTCACGTGCAGACATCTGCATTCAGTCAGGTGAATCCCACCTCCGTTTCCCCATGAAAACACACTTCACCTGAGATGCTCTCTTATATACAGTCAAGATCTAATCCTTCTTTTGTTCTCATTCATACTTACCGCAGTAGATATCACAGATCTGCAGTGGAACTGAATAATCTACATCTGTCCTCCAGCCCTTTTAAAAGAGAGAATTGAGGCTTATTCCCCTTTCAGCAGAACTGTTACTAAACATTTGTGTTGACAAAATGAAATTGCTTTATTGTTTAACTCAAGTGACTGCATTTTTAAGCTGTTTTTAAATAAATGCATATGGAGACTGCTGGTCTAGTGTATACTTAGTGAGTTGCAATCACTTTTAGGTTTCTAAATGATAAAGCTAATCAGATATTATTTTGGGCGGGGGGGAGAACTGTATTGTGACAGATAATGTCTTATTTACAAAATAAATGATTTATGCAGGAAAACATCCATTTCACCACCAAGTCTGATTTTTCATTAGGGAATGACGAACAACTCTCATTACCCAGAAGGCTCTTGCCAAGCTCACTTTCATCTTGCCCCTTTCTTCCTAGCAGCAGAAAGTGAAGCTAACAAGGGCCTTCCAGGGCAGCTGCTGGAGCCTCACAGCTTCGGCTGTCAGTCTCTCTTGTCCCGGTGTCTGCTGAGAACATTAACTCCAGAGAGGAATAAACCTATCAGCTTCACGCTCATTTCCTATTAATGATGTCTTAATAAAGTTCAGCTACGGAAATAGTGTGCAAAAATGTCAGAAATAATTTGCTCAGCTCTGCTTTCAGGAGTGCTAATTCTAGCATACTATGCCCTTACTGTGCCGCTTGCTATATGCCTAACCTTTTCCAGCTAATGTCAATTTTTTAAAAATTCATCTATGATTTACTTGGATCTTTTGATACCTTGGAACTTTTTATTACAAAGGAACATTTAAAGACAGGATTAACAATTTCCTGATGATATCCCTTTATCTGCCACTGACAAAGGAGCAAGATCATGGAGAGCAACTTCCCTGTTAATTAATGTCATCTCAACAAGAGGTGGTGGCAGCACATCAAGCTATAAATAATGCTCTTTGCCAACTCTGTTCGCACAGTAATCAGATTTGGCTGGGAGGAGAAGGCAGTGAGAGTGCCTGCTGGTTTTGCTGGTTTTCTCTTTTCTTTTTTTTTTTTTTTTTTCTGGGATGATGATTTGTTTATTTTGTACAGAGTACCTGGCAAGATCAAGACACATACCTTAATGCAAATTGTTGACCCACACATTTCCCGTGACATAGTGATTGATACAGAGTCTCCCTAATGAAAAGAAAAAAATGAAAACTATTATTTCCCATACCCTGGAACAATGAAAATGTATTGTGTCTCTCCAACTCTTTGGTTTGTTTGCCAATAATGCTACACATCCTACTGTGTCAGAAAATTAATGAAGTGTATATTCATTATGGAAGGCTATTTATTTTCACAGATATCCCCACATCTCAAGGACCATAAGCAGCTGGGGTAGTTTGGCCAAGCACAATTTGGGCAGCACCGGAAGAGGGCATTTTAGGAAGCATCATAAGGCAGGACGCCCTCCCTGCCGTGGCTGCTCCCACCATGTTAGCCAATGAACATCTTCACTTCTTTTCCCTGGTGTACACGAGTTGAAGGAATGACCCTTTCATTACAGTTCTTTTGGATTTGCCATCACATTGTATGCTGAGAACAAGTTCAGCCTTAGGGTAAAATTGTCCTAAATGACTGTTCTGACACTTAACTTTTGATTGTTTATGGTTTGTCCTCAAAATAATGTTAGTTACCCCACTAATAGCAATGAGTCCTACACAGCTCTCTTTAGTTTGCCAAACTCCTAAAATAACTTGGGGCAAATTAGGTGAATATGTTCTTTTTCACGCACAACTGAACAGGGATTACTAGGTAGAGAATGAACATTGGTTTCTGGGAACACAGAGCTAAGTCTTAGTGAAAACTTTGTGTATATTGCTCATGGTGTTGAGACAGGAACTGTATGTAATTTATATGGGCTCCCATTCTGCCACAGTAGCAGAGGACATAACAGCTTTGTACCGGAGGGAAGAAAACAGCATTTTTAAATGCATCAGTGCCCTTCATGAAACGCACACTTCAATAGCTAGCTGTGATTTACTGGTGCTCCACCATTACCCTTCTCACTTAGCAATTCACACAGGGAAACTTTAAAACCAGACAGTCTAAACTCCACAGATTTCATGGGAAATAAGCCGGTTGAAGGGAAGTGCCACTGTAAGTATTCACTGAACATAGTGTTTGATAACTCTTCTACTGTACAGATCTCCATCTCTGCCAGTAATATAGCATTTCCCCAGACATCTTGCCCCATTAGGACAGACTCTTGATAGCGCCACCAATGCCCTCTGTGATCACTGTTGATTAGGAGAGCTGTTTTTTTCGCAGGCCTTTCCCTGTGATTATTCAGCTCTGGGATCTCCCGCAGGAGCAGTTATCATGTTCCACTTAAGCATGTCCTCAGCTTGAGCAGCAAAGCCGAGTTGGGAAACTCTGTTTTTAACAGCTGCTCTGTTACATTCAGCACCAGAGATGTAATAAAGACATAAAACGATTCATTAGAAAATAAATTCAGCTTTCAGTGTCCACCTCTTTGAGTTTCAGAAGTCCTTATTCATAGCTGCCTGCTTGTCAGCCCATCCCTGGTATGTGCACCCTGCACACTGAAAGCATCTTGAAAAAGTCACAGTTGCAGCAGGTACCTGCATACAGCGGCAAAGAAAGAAGTACAGCTGGAATATATCCTAAAAAGAGGACAGCTGTAGGAGCTACAGCACACTTGTGTCTTCTAAAGCACATACCCTGACAGCGGAATGAAGTCAATGGGCACAGTCAGGAATAACAGTAAAAATCACAATATCAGGTTTTCTCAGCTTTCTCAAAATTCATGATATGACATCTCACATACCTGCTCAGTGGAGCAGAAAGCTGGAGCACACATTTAGGGGTGGACATAAGAGT